CCCCCCCCCCCCCCCCAAGTTGGTCTAACAAGGGAAGATAGCTTTGAGGTCTTCAGGGCAAAGGCTCAAGACTTACTTGTCTTACCTGGAACAAGCTGTGCCTGGCAGAACAGCATATGAACAGTTTGAGAGTCTAATAATGCCAGAGACTGAGAGAGAAGAAAGCTGCCTACTGAATCAACATTGTTTCAACAGCAGCTGGATTTGATTAGGGATTTCTACTTTAAAATTCTGTCCTAATTATCTTCTTATTGGGAGCATTGTCAGGGATCTTACAGGGCATTTTGCAGACACACCTTGATGTGACAGTAGGATCTGTAATGGGAAATCATAATTCTGTGTTTTTAAGACTATATACAGATTCTGTTGCAGGATTGTGGTCTTAGTTCTTCAGTCAAGAACCAAGTGAATTTTAAGTGATACTTCGCAAAGTAATAAGAGGAGAGAAAGTTTGAACGTTTAAGCAAGCAAACCTTTCGTACATATGAGATTTGAAAATACTAAATTGGACGAAAAATAGCTCAGCATACTGGTTGCAAGTGTGTACATGACACTTACGAAGTAATAAATTCTTAAAATCCTGAGAAATTAAGCATTGCATCTTGTAATCATTGCTTTTTTTAAACCAGTGCTTTGTAAAAAGCTTGACGTGGTTCTTTGGGTAGATGTGATATCTCTTTAGACAGACTAAATAGTTAGAAAAATTGCACTTTGCCAACCTTCCAGCATAAAGGCCCTTCTTCAGGCATAAGGAAAGTCTGTTGGTGTTTGTGTGCTCTCCTGGGTAAAATGGCATATCTTTTTATGACTTAAGGCAGTAGTTTTCAGCTTGTGGTCTGTGGATCCCTGGGGGTTTGCAGACTATGTCTAAGGAGTCTGCAAAAGATTACTGTGGTCAGTCAAAAGTATGTGAACTCCCACACTTACAATTCAAAGTGGTTCGCACCTCCCAATTTTTTAGGTGTCCACAGATGAAAAAAGGTTGAAAGCCACTGGCTTATGGACTATAATAATTAAGAGTAACTGCGTAATGAGTTGCTTTCAAAGCATGGCCACCTGCTGTTTAGGTTTCAATTCTTCTTTGAGGGACTGAAGGATAAGATCTAGAATTAACAAAACTAGTAGCTACTTGTCAGGGATCCTGTGCTTTACTGAGGTATCACTTTTTAATTTTACAATAAAGGAAAGAGGAGACTGACTCAAGATCATTCAGTGAGGCAAAAGCAGTATTATAATGCTTGATTTCTTGCCTTTAGTTTTGAATGTATTCTATTGTGCCATGCTACATGACAGTTATTGCCTATGTTTATAGAGCTGTAATGATAATTAGTGTTGTAATTAGCATTTCTCTTAGGAACTCTGAAGTGATCAGCATTTTATGCTTGGGTGAGGAGTTGACTGAAAGACTGAGTTGAAGTTCTGATTCTGTGGTATTAAAGATCTTGTCTGATATACACCTGATAGTTCCTTCAGTGTCAAAACTGTGTTAATTGAAATATGTATTTTCTGAAGTGCTGGCATTGCCCAGATTATTTGGGTTTGCAGTATCAATGCATACAGTCCAAACAGGTTTTGCAGGGAAGTAGGAAAAATATCAACTAGAGTCTCTTGCAATGTGATGAACATTTGCTTTCAAATATCCTACCTTTTGATAGGATATAAACCTGGTTACTTCTTGAAGAGAAGGTTATCTTTGAAATGGAAAGGCTCAGTTTCTTTGTTTTAAATAGCAAGGTTTCACTCTATTTTTCTAGTGGTTCTAACCTAAGAAGAGCTAAGGCTGGGTGTGGATTCTAAGTCCTTGTATAGGACTTGTTAGGTTGTTGCATGTAACCAGGGGTGGGGAGGAAGGGATACAGATAGTTTTGATTTTATTTATTTGTTTGTTTGTTTATTTATTTTAAAGTTGTCTCTGCAAACACCCATAGGTTTCTAGTAGAACTTGATGGAATGTTCTGGAAAACTTCAGAACTAGGGTCGTCTTTTCAAGGGAAATGGAGTATATTAATAAAGGTGCTAGATACTCAAGTGTATTAGTAAGCATCATGAATTTGTGGGAATTGAATCGCTCATGTTGTTTGCTCATCAGTCAAACTGATTGGACCCATTTTTTAAGCTTGGCAGTCTAAGTTGGGTTAGTAATTGTATGAATCCTTTAAAATGAAATTAGGTGTCTTGGTAATTACTTCCTAACTCAGCCTTCAGGTATCAGTCAGGACTCCTGGAAACACTACCAAGAAGAGCTTTTTCAGTTGATGTCCTGAGTACTTGTTGCTACAAATTCTTGAAAGAAGCTACTGGGGAACTTCTTCCAAGAACTTTGGTATTGCTATGTATCAGGTGCCCAGCTGCTCATCTTGGAACAGTTGCACTTCATTTTGGCTGTCCCAAGTGAATTTTAATTGCAGCCAGACAAGCTGATGACATAGACTTTTGAATCCTTGGTTTGTTGATAAATCGGTTCTGGACCTGCAACTGGAAACTTGAACTATGTTCTGGGCAAACGTTACTGAATGACTGTAGTGGCTTGCCCGGCACGCTGCTAAATTCTTCCTCTTGGTTCTACTCGGCTCGGCTGCTCCTTGGCTGCTCTGTGGAATGGGTTCTGCATGCATTTTCATTTTTGGCCTCAGATCAGATGTGCTAGTCAGCTGGGGCATCAAAGGATTTTCAGTGTGGGTTGTGTTCACAGCTTGCTCCTGAGGGAAGGACCTACTACTAAATAAAAGCAAAAACCTTCAAGTGTGGGTGCAAAACTGGGCTACCTTCTGTGGCCTAGTTTGAAATTCTAGCTTAAGCTGCTATTACCAGATTCTGCCTCTTAAACCATAGATTCATAGATGCTAGGGTTGGAACGGACCTCAAAGGATCATTGAGTAGGACCCCTTGCCAGGTGCTTGTCCAGTCTCCTTTTGGAGACTCCCAAGGTAGGGGAGAGCACCGCCTCCCTTGGAAGCCCATTCCAGATTCTGGCAACCCTAACCGTGAAGATGTTCTTTCTGATGTCCAACCTAAACCTACTCTCCATCTGCTTGTGGCCATTGTTTCTAGTTATTACAAGGGGTGCTCTGGTAAACTCTGAGAAACCCATGTATTCTCTCATAATATAGCTTTTGCTTTAAAGTCTTTCAGTGCAGTTAGTGTACTGCCTTCTGTTTCTGCCATAGAGGTGGTTGTTTCAGTGCCATGAGCATACGATTTTTATTCAAACCATCTGCAAAGAACTTTGGGTATGAAGTATTAATTCAGTATTCTGTAGTTTCTTCTGTATACCTGAGCCAAAGGTTAAACTGAGAGAACATAAACAAACAGTAGTAATTGCAGTTGACCAGTTAAATTTTTATAGAGTCCATGGTTCACTTCCTCTTGAGGAGCAGACAGGGCTGAGCATAGTAAGGTTCTCTCCTAATCTTGAGTGAATGCATGCATGCATATATTCAGTTTCCATACATTATTCTAGGCACTTGTCAGATGCAGTAAGCATTTGGTTTAAAATAGCCTGCGTTAAACTAAAACCTCTGTCTTCCATAATGTTGCCAGCTTGACTTAAAGCCATGAGACCTTGGAATACTTGTAACAGTGTACATCTAATTTCTTTGCTTGGATGGAGGCAGGACACCCATTAAGAGTTCTCGTCCTTATGTAACATATCACTTTTCTGTCAGAAGTTGGAACCTGATGATAGGCCAGATTTGGTTGTTTGATAACTTTAGCACTGTTGT